ATGCTTTCAGCTTTGTGCTTTCTTCTCCATTTTAATCAGCTCTGCTCATCATCTTCCACTGCTGAGGAAGCTGGTAGAGCAAGTCTTTGATTCAATAAACAAGTACCGACATATTCATCTTTTGCCACGGAGTATCAGATATCTTTTCCCCTAGCTTTTGTGCAGTAAAATTTCAACATCTGCTATGACTCAGTTGGCACCATTTTCCCACTTTCCTTGCATGAAAATAAAAATTCTATTTATGAATAAGAATCCCCTCAATGCATTTCAGCAGAGAATCATTTCTTCCAGGTAGTGAACAGTGTGTGTCTTTTCTTTCCAACATGTTTTTATTGTGCCAGTTAGCCTACAGACCTCATACTGGGTACACTCAATTTGGTGCTCAAGCCAGTAATATATGAACTAAGTCTCCCTTTGTGGCTCCTTCTTTCTCCTAGCAAGAAATGCATTTGCTTCTAGGCTGGAATTGCTTTTCAACCCTTGTTATGCATCTGTCTTTCAGACATCCTCTATAGGTGAAAATGGCTCTGTCAGTGGACTCAGCTTTGTATCGCTGGCAGTCTCGGTGGCGGGCTGAAGAGGTCTCCCCATCTCAGTCAGAATCAACACCTTTGTTGTCATCTGAGCCAAAGAGACAGAAATACAATCTGGACAAACAGAGGGTTGTATTTCCCAGTAATGAAAGATTTCACAAGGCTTTAGGGAGCATCTCTCGAGTTTACTCTGGAAATGGAATACGGACCACAAAATACACTTTGCTAACCTTTTTACCCCGAAATCTCTTTGAACAATTTTACAGGTATGTTCCACAAACCCAAACAAAAATAAAATTATCACGAGGTTAAAATGCATTTTCAGGAATAGGAATGTTTTAAAAGTCATTCAAAGGAAAAGCTAGAATGGCAAAACTAGACAAAAAATAATAGATGGGGAAGATTAATTTCAAAAAGTCTGCTGCTATTTACTGTAGTAGTCTGGGTCAATGTGGTTGTCATACTGTAGAATTTCACAGAAATGCATCTCATTATCACTGAGAGCAGTTGCATAAAGTTGACAATATTTGCACCTAATTAACTAGATGAGGTACAACTAGACACCTATGAAATGAGTAAGAATATATTGTCCTGTGGTATTCTGAGCTTTTGTGGCCTTTGGCAGAGGCTGAATACCACTCAGCTGCACAATACATTAAAAAAAATCAGTAGTCATCCACACTGCATCAAAACCTAAGATGGATGAAGCAAGAGGTCCCATCTTATCACACCTCTGGGCAACCCGTTTCCTAATGTAGCACTAGCAGAGAATTAACGTGGGAAGTGGAGTCATCCAGTGGTCCCCAACCTTGGGCCTTCAGATGTTCTTGGACTTCAACTCCCAGAACCCCTGGCCAGCAGAGGTGGTGGTGAAGGCTTCTGGGAGTTGTAGTCCAAGAATATTTGGAGGCCCAAGGTTGAGGACCACTGATTTAGACTATAGAGGGCTGAAAATTTTGTTAGCATGTGAGCATGAGCTGTCATGTGTTTGGCTGGAGATGGATTGGGGCTTGACAGGTTGAGGCCTTCAGCTGCAACTCATTTCAGATCTCTGAACGTTGAGTTACGGCAACTGGATATCAACTTCCAGATATCTGCACCTGGATGACTAAGAATCTTCATAGACGGATTTCAGATACTGTTCTACTGCAGTGCTTGTGAGAAAGTGGCCTTAATTTCCACCACCTCTATACGTTATATTTCTGTATACAGTACTGTCATCTAGAATAGCTTTTCTGAGTGGATGCAAGGCTTTATGGGGCCTGGGCTTCAGGATCAGCATATTCATTGGGTGGCCTGTTGTGTCGTGTTTCTTGTATCAACCAGTTCTGGTGCTCTGGGTGAGGCTCGGTGATTGAACAAGAGCTATTGCAAAATGTCTTTAAATGAAACGGTCCTATTGCAAAACCTATTTCTGATGAAGTTGTAATAAATCCGCTCAAGACAGAAAATCACTGGCTAGCTTAGGACATTGTATAGAGTGCATCATGGCAGGTAAATTGTCAATTCTCTTGGATGAAACAGATTATCTAGATGTAGACCATTTCAAACAGGCCTTACAGCCACAGGTGCTGTGAGTTCTCCCACCAGTTGAGTCAGGAAGCAAAGGGACTCCTCTGCTGCCCTGGTGGCTCCCTCCCCCTCAGTAGGCAGCACTGTACAAACCAGCTGTGGCAGTGCCCTCATCCCCTACGCATCCCTCCACCTGAGGAGGAGATAGCAGCCATAGCAGCCATGCCCTCCAAACTGGAAAAAGGACACTCTGTGGCACTTAGGTCCATGCACCTGCCAGCAAAGGTACCCACCAGCCAAAGAGAGAGAAAGAAGAACGGTACTTTCACCCAGCAAAGCAGAAGGAAGCGTCAGTACTCCACCCACAAGTTTGAAAGAGGGGGCCATGGTAGAACCCTCCACATTTAAACCCCACCAGGTACCCCTGCCTAATGTTACTCTGTAAATATCTCTGGTTCCTTGGAGTCAGGCATTAAGGGAACGTCCTGCTCCAGAGCAATGTGTGAGCAACAGTAGTTCCAGAGAGACAGCTATCACAATTGCTGTTTACTATGCCCCATCATCTAAGGTGACTATCTCATTTTACATTATACTTGTGCAGTGTTTTGAAAGCACAGCAGTTTGAGTAATGCTGGCAGTGACTGTAATGTCTCAGTGGTCTGCAGACCCTGACATTACATCTAAGGTGACTATCTCATCTTATGATATGCTTGTGCAATGTTTTGAAAGCACAGCAGTTTGAGTAATGCTGGCAGTGACTGTAATGTCTCAGTGGTCTGCAGACCCTGACATTAATCATGTCAAATGTGTCTATACTTCAGCGTTAGAGCAATTTGACAATACTCTAATTACCATGACTCTGTCTTCTGGGATCTGAGACTTGTAATTTAGCATTATGGTCCCAAACACTCTCACAGGGTCAGGCTGGCATTTTTAAAAAAAAATAAAGGCCTGTAGCCAGTAACAGAATTGTGTGATTAAATTCACACATTCTTTAGTCTTCTGAACCAGATTTAAGTGCAAACTATGCACAAACTGCAAGCCGGCTGGATAGCTCAGTGGTTTAGGCATCTGGCTGTGGAGCCAAAGGTTGGGAGTTTGATCCCCCGCTGTGCCTCCTGCAATCAGAGCCAGCCTGTGTGGCCTTGGGCAAGCTTCACAGTCCGAGAACACCCCAGAAGAAGGGAATAGTAAACCATTGCTGTATATTCTCTACCTCAAAAACCATGGAAATACTCACCATAAGTCAGAATTGACTTGATGGTACCCAATACATACATGCATGCATAAATTGTAGCCCATTTTCAAATTGAGGTATCACATCTAGATGCATGCATAAATTGTAGTTTGCAGCCCATTTTCAAATTGAGGTATCACATCTTTGCTCATCAAGCCAAAGTAAACGTCAATCTGTCAATCTATGGTTTGATATTAAATTTGAACTTAGTCTACGTATTTAGAGGTGAGCATGGAGAGACTGTTCTCTCACATATAGGAATAGAAAGGGGGATTTTGTAAAAAATTATCAACTTTTATTAATTGTATATGATTTTTGTTTCAGGTTGGCCAATGTCTACTTCCTCTTATTGGTAATCATCAACTGGTTTCCACAACTGGAAGTCTTCCATAGAGAAATTACGATGTTACCTTTGGCAGCTGTGCTTTCAATTATCACAGTTAAGGATGGCATTGAAGATTATAGGAGATACCAATTTGATCAGAAAATCAATTTTTCTAAAACACAAGCATACAATACGTAAGTCTATGCACTATTATTCTGCACCACTAAATTTTGCAGCAGAATCTGATCCCTCATCCCATGAATGCAATCAAAAAATCTGAGAGCAGCTTTTTGTAGAAGGCAGTTCTTCTCTTCAAAATTAATGCTAAGGTCTTTATTCAGGCTCTGCCTTTGAGAATGTCAATGATTTTAAGGACTCCAAGACTACATCCTCAATATGTATGATAATAAACATTTCTGAAATGCATTGCGATACTATGTTAGAATTACTTTGGACATCATCTGGTGGTGTACTTCTGCATCCACTGCCAACACAACCCCTTCTCCTGCTGCAGCTCCACCCTATCCCATCTCCCCAACCTCACAAATCCGCTCCACTTAGTTTTCCATCCTACTGAAGCAGGTGCGCAGGATGCCTGGGGACTTCCAGAGGGAACGTGAACAGCTTGTTCTGATGGAAGCAGCAGGATCCAGCAGAAGGACCACTCTGGATCTCAGCCTTCCATTGTATATGTTTGTTTCTGTTAACAAAAAGATGTATACTTTCAAATGCCTGGAAAGTAGGTAGGTAGGCAGGCAGGAGGCAGGCAGGCATTTGTCCAAAAACAATGATAGCCCTAGGAATTATTATTATGATTCCTCATTCTGCTTTTTTTTCTTTCTCCTTTAAGTGCACTGGAGTGGAAAATTGTAATCAATTGTAATCTCCATGCCCACCTCCAAATACTGTACGCAGGCTCCCCCTCAAGAAGATTAAGAAACCAGAGCATATGTGTGGGGAAATAACATTTTTCATGGCCAGAAGACCTCTGTGCCCCACATACTTTTTTTTGCCCGATCCCACTACTAAAAGAAGAAGAAGTAATAACAATAACAATAACAATAACAAGAATCCCACTACTAAAAGTAGTAATAGTAGTAGTAGTAGCAGTAGTAGTAGTAGTCGTAGTAGTAGTAGTACTAGTGGTAGTAGTAGTAGTACTAGTGGTAGTAGTAGTAGTAGTGATGATGATGATGATAATGAGGAGGAGGAGGAGGAGGAGGACTATGATGACAACAATGACAATGACAATGCAAATATGCTTTCTTGAGGAGGATGACTGTGATGATGACAATGACAATGCAAATATGCTTTCTTTGTATGAGTAACACAGATTGCTACTCTCTTTGTTTTTATTTTATCTGCATAGAAGTTTGAATGCTGATGTGGAGGAGATCATATAGAGTTTACATAAGTAGCCTTGCATATAGCTGTATTATACTAGTGTTACAATTCTAATTATAATATAACACATTAGGACCTACCTGCAAGACCCAAGTAAGTGACAAACAACAACTGTTTTCATTGTGACATTTAGAAACTTGCTGTGTACTGTAGTTGTATATCTAAGGAACAATTGTCTTGGTTATTACTACAAAGAGCAAGCACTAGGACCCGGGATTCCTCACTCTCACAGGAAAACCGGTTTATAGGAGTGTGTGTGTGCCTGTCAGCCCTTTGTGTTCCAGCAGGTGTTGACGAAACACAAGTGAAAGCAATTAATTTAGTTCAATTCAGTCAGCACTTCACCACTTCATTGTACAGCAACTCAGTTGGAGGACTTAACCCTTAATTTCTAAACTCTGTGGAGCAAACTGTAAATTTTAAGGGGCAGGAAGATGTGAAGGAAATGTGCTCAACAAAATTCCTGTGGGACATACTTCAGTTCCGAAGACTGTGCTGCCAGAGTGCTTCTTCAGATACCGAGGACGATGAACCTGTGAGGAGAAGGAAGACACGAAAGAAGAAAGATGAAGCCAAAAGAGTTATTGTTTCTAACTTGCCCTTTGAAGGCGGCAAGTGGAAAGAAAACCCAAACAGACATTATGAGGGGAACAAAATCAAGACCACAAAATATACCCTTCTGTCTTTCATCCCTAAGAACCTCTTTGAACAATTCCATCGCTTTGCCAATTTCTATTTTGTGGCCATCGTAGCACTCAACTTTGTGCCTGTGGTCAACGCCTTTGAGCCAGGGATCTCTGCCATCCCAGTCTGTGTTATAATGGCCATCACAGCTATTAAAGATGCCTGGGAAGACTTTCGGAGATTCCATCTGGACCGGAAGATCAATAGCATGGGTTGCCTTGTATATAGCAGGTAAATAAGGGGTTTTATATAGCAAGTACATAACTTGTTGAATTTGAGGGGGGGGTCCCAAAGAAACTTCGTTAAACCTTAAATTATAATATATGAAATGCACCTTTGCTTTTTGCTTGAACAAATATATAAATATGTCCAGGCAGGCAAATATTTATTGTTCTGTTTTTTATTTTTTAAAAATATATATATTATTATTATAAACAACAACATAAAATACATAAACCAAAATACTAATCAATTGTGTTCCTCACTACCCTAGTCGGGATCTCTTGCAGTAGTCTTCTTCTTCCATTGTCTTTATTCTTTTTCTTCCTTTATTGTCCTTTTCTCCAGAACTGCATTGATTCCCGATTTGGAACTTTCCCTTTTCCTCTTGTTAGCGTCATATTCAATAAATCTGCCCCATATATCATAAAATTATTATTTTTTTATCTCTCCTTTCTAAACCTTTAAATTACTAATTAATTTATCATTTATAGCAATGTTCCATATTTCATTATAGCATTCTTCCATTTGAAATTCAAGTTTTGATTTCCAATTCCTGGCTATTATTAATCTGGTTGCTGTTAATAAATTGGAAATCAACTCTCTAGTCATATCATATCATATTCCACATTTACAAATATTGATAACAAAGCTATATCAGGATTAAATTCTATATCCCTTTCACATATATCAGTTAATTCCTTAAAAATTAATTTCCAAAATCTTTGTACTTTTCACATTCCCACCACATATGAAAGTATGTACCAATTTCCTTCTCACATTTCCAACACATATTCAGATACTTAGAATTAATTTTATTCAACTTTATCGGTGTCAAATACCATCTTAAACTTAGTTTAAAAATTTTCTTTTCTCACTGACATAAATGGTAAAACCCTCATTTTCCACATCTTCATCCATTCTTCACCATTTATTCTTTTTCCTAAAACTTGTGCCCACACTAACTTCAATCCTTCATTCTCAATCTCTTCTTCTTCTAAAAAAATATTTCTTTGTGAGGAAATGTTTGGTTATCAAGTCCATCCTGTTTCCCACACTGGGCAGCCAGATACCTATGAGCAACCTACCATTAGGATTCGAGGGTGGCATCCCTTTCCTGCTGCTGTTTCCCCAAGCCTGCTTCAGAAGAATCATATTGCTTGTCATTCTAGAAGAAGATACAGACTTCATAGCTAGTAGTAGCCACTGGTGAACATATTGTCCATCCTCCTTTAAAGCCTGGTATGTTAGTGGCTATCTCTGTGGATGCAAATCTTGTAGCTTAACTTAAACTATGGGTTCCGTGAAGAGGCACGTCCTTCTATCTGCGCTGAATCTTCTGCTGGCTGAACTCATGTTAGGCAGGTTCCACTTCCAAAAATAATGATGTAATCATCAACAGCTTATGGCTGCTGATTAAAGACTTTCTTTTTCATTGTTGGGGTATATGTGACTTTGTTTCATTGCATGCAAGCTATGTGTCGTTCCTCCCCCCCAATATTGAAAAAGACTTTAATCAGTGGCAACTTCAGAACTGAATCAGTGGCAACCTGCTGTTGATTGTGACATCATTCCTATTGCACAGGCAGAGCTGTGCAACAGGATTTTGGCCACCAGGTAGGTTCATTGGACGACTATACCACTTTCTACATTTTGGGGGTAAAAACCAGCTTTCTACATTCTCCACATCAGCTGTAACATCTGTAACTCCACAATTCATGTTTCCTTTGCTTGGTTTTCTTCTTGCTAAAGAATCTCAAGCATTCTAAGCTTTTCTAACAGTGGACATGCTTCAGTCCTTTAATCATTTTAGTTGACCTTTTCTGTGCCTTTTACAGACGAGAATATTCGTATTCGTAAACGAATACGAATATCCCCATCCCAGCTGTAACTAATGTGGGTCTGGCCCTTGGAACTGTCCTGTCCACTCGTGTGTCACTGCACTGCCAGCATCCCGCTCTTCCCACCAATCACAGAAGTAGCTCCACCATCTCCCTGCTCGGTTGGCCACTCGGCAGCCATGCAAAGAGATTCATCCTCCTGCCCCCCTGCCTGGAGTGTCCAGCTGAGCAGGGAGACAGTGGAGCTACTTCAGCAACTGGTGGAAAGTGCAAGACACTCGTGGCACAGTGGCGCTCAAGTAGACGGACCCACATTGGTTGCAGCTGGGACAGGGATATTCGTATTCATTTATGAATACAAATGTCTCCATCTCTAGTGTCTTTCTAGCTGTGAGCACAACCTGTGCACATTTTATGTGCCTGGTCACCTGCATCTCTATTTTTGGTAAAAAGGGAAAGAACTGTTGTCAAAGCTTTGGTCCCAAGTGCCTGTAAACTAGTCCTGCTAATTAAATGGGCTGTTTTTGTTTCTGTTTTCTCGGTATTGTTATAAACCACATAGGATCCATTTGCATCTTTTACTTTCGGAGTTCTTTATCTAAAGCAGGCTTGTCCAACCCGCGGCCCGAGGGCCGCATGTGGCCCAGGTCAGCTCATAATGCGGCCCAGTGCAATTTTTTATTTTTAAAGAAATTCCAAAGTTTCAAGTTACACTGCCGTCGCTTGCGGCCGCAATGTGGCCGGGGCATGTCACAACAGTAGAGGGGGAGAGAGGGAAGGAAGGAGCAGGAGGGGAGGGGACGGGGGCTGCGTGACTGCATTGCACCGTCCCCGTCAATAGGTGGACCCCGTCAATAGCCGCCGGAATCAAAGCTGGCAGCCTCTGCTGTCGGAGATCGCAGCTGCAGGTAAGTGCGCTTGGAGCAGGGCTGCGGAGGACGGCTAGGGCTGCCCCCCCATGCAGCCCAAACCAAATGTATGTGCGGCCCAAACCAAATTTTCATCTTCTAATGTGGCCCAGGGAAGGTGAAAGGTTGGACACCCCTGATCTAAAGCAAAATTTAGAAAAGTTACCTTTTTACAGTCTGCTTCCCAGAGTTTTTCAGCAACATGGGCCATTGCCATGTTAGCTGAGTGACTGTGGAAGTCATAGTCCAGGTAGTGACTTTTTCAGGCTGTTGTCTAAAAACAAGTTATTCATACTGTATGATGTGTTCTAAAGAAAATCTATGTGGAATCATTGCCCTGATTTACGTATCACAGAGAAGCTATGATTCAGCCACCAAGGCCATAATTTCAGTATTACCTACAGCAACTTCCTTCCTTCTACTTGAGTCTTGTGGTGCAGTGGCTAAATTGTAGGACTGTAGTGAAAACTCTGGTCATGAGTTCAGTCCCGACACGCTCAGGTAGCTGGCTCAAGGTTGACTCAACCTTCCAAGGCTAGTAAACTGAGTACCCAGCCCACTGGGGAGACAATGTATAGCCCACATATTTAAATTGTAAACCATCCAGAGAGAGCTTTAAGCACTATATAAGCAGCACTCTTTGCTTTGATTTACTGTTAACTATAGTTCATCATTGCATCCATATTTGATGAATGATAGTTCGTGCAAACAATAATTTGCCTCTCTAGCAGAATTTAAAGATATGGCTTAACTTGTTCTCCAATTCTGGTTTACGGTAACAACAGTCGGGGGGGGGAGAGTCAAAATGAGCATAGTGACCAACTACAGTTTCAGTGAAGTGAGTATATGACTGAAGCAGGCAGGAGATATGAGAGCAAAAACTATAACCTCTATTTTGGTCCTCTGCTATCATTTGTGCCAAAATCTATTAGCATTCTATCAGAATCCCATTGAAAAATATTAGGACCTTGTCTTGCCAGCTCATACAGAAACATGGTTCTCCTTTTGCTGGAATGACTAAAGGATTAAGGAACGTTGCATCTGAAATTTGTCCCATATATAGGGAAATATTGTTTCGATTTAGGTTACCTCACCGGAATGAATCACCCTCAGCTACTGGCTCATTATTGCGCATGCCTGAACTGATGCTTTCTATTAATTAATGAAAGATTCCCTGATTCATTTCCTTGCAAGAGAAGGGAGGAACTGTGGCCTTTTCTGCAGTGGAGAGGAACATTCATAACTTCTCTCATTGAAGTCTGTGTTGTGGCCCATGAATCAAGTTTAGAGTGAGAGGAGGCTGAGCCAACACAGTCTAGAGACTACAAGATCACTGGCCGAGGAATAAGGCTCTTTTTATTTATTTATTAAAAATATTTTTACCCTGTCTTTCCCCTAAAAAGGACCCACAGCAGCTTACGTCACTAAAAGCACAATATTAAAAGCTAAAAACAGTATATTATTTGAATATTTAAAAGAAATAATAATAATCTATTAAAAATGTTACTGGTCAGCAGTAACTGCACAATGCCACCAAGCCAGGGGCCACAGAAAGGAGGAGAAGCACCTCCAGGAAGAGCTTTAGAATGGTAGAGGGCTTCAAGCAGCTTCCAGCCTTCTAGGCACTTTCCATTAGATCCCCTTTTCACCTTGCCTCATGGATACCTGCCATGATCACAGTGTCTTGGACCTTCAGAAAACTGTGTTGGACAGATAGAAGGACACAGAGTAATCCAGGGTCCCAGGCACATTGACTCTATGTTTCTTCTATCTTGGTTGGGATAACATTTAAATAACCCAGTCAGTGGGCAGGGCAGGGTCAAGAGTGTGGGTTCTTCCAGGGACAACGAGGCAGCATGATTCTATGGTTGGAGCCTCTGCAGCTGTGCCCTGGTGCTGTTGTGGCTGAAAAAAAAACATATTCCACTCACTCAGCTGGGAAGATACGTAAAAGACCACAGAGTTGTACAGGGGAATTTGAGGTTTATGGCAATGGCTATTGAGGTCAGCAATTTCCATTAAAAAACTGGATTATTGACCACATATTTATTCTAAATCTTTTTATGTTCCCCCTGCCTTTCATTTCCTTTCATGTTTTTTCCCCTTGTATTTTAGACTTTGCATTTTAGATAAGGGTCTTTCCCTGGCACCACAGCCTTTTAGGGATAATATTCCTCTCTTCTAAACTTTTGTTTCCTGGATTTGCACTTTCTCAAGGCTTTGCCCCATCCTTAAAGGAGAACCCTGCCAACCTAGCAGTTTG